AGTTAGATTTTATTCGTCTTATAAATTATAAAACCTTTAGGTTTAGCAGCTAATACATTTAAGTTCCAGTGTCAGCTACTGGGACAACTGACTGTCAGCTACTGGTACAAGCACTTTTTTCACTGTCAGCCACTGGAACACGTACAAAGGTTGAATTAAGTTTAAAAATGTTATAAAATATATTTAAAAAACCCTTTTTGTATGACAAATTTGAAAACTACACTAAATTTAGAATCACATAAAATCCGTAATATCTCTTTAGTTCCTATTTATTCAAAACCACGGATTATTAAGTGCGTATAGTTTCTTATACTGTCAGCTACTGGTGCGTTTACCTTAATTTAGTATAGTATATTGAAGCGTTATTATGCGCCTAATTGTTACGGAGAAAATTATAAAAAATTGTAATTTTAAAATTCTCATGTTATTCTTATGGAGAATAAGTCAACTGTTGTAGTTTGCTTGTTTATGAACATATTTTGATCGATTTTGGGAAATACTTTTATTTCTTACTAAATTATTATCATTTTATAAAAAAAATCTTTTTTACCCTCCCTGTTGTAGCAAACCTAAGTACTCGTTAAACTAATTCTATTTAAATAGGAAATACATGTGCTATTTTTATGGAGGCATTTTAGTGTAAATCCAATCAGATTAATGGAAATTCGCTTAGTCTGCAGGTTTGCTGCGGCGGGGGTATTTATCCTTAGGCCGGGGCTACACTTGTAAGTTTTAACCAGCGAGATTGGTTTTTCCGTTTTCACGTGCGAGGCATAACTTCTATAAACATGGTTTGTTTTAGTAGAGAATGCACTTGCAAATCTGTTTGAAAGTCTTGCTGGTGTGGCCTGCCCCATATACCATAATGTATCTCTCTTTTTTTTAAATCTTTATTAGTTTGGACAGGATCTTCAATCAAAGTTGAGTTTTCTCCCATAAGATTAACATGGGGGAATCTAAATATTTAATTGGAAACTTTGTCTCCACTAATTTGAGAGAACGGCTGGGCGTAGAAACTTGGTAGAGGTGTCCAAAGAAAGGTCTTGGTCTGTAGATGAGTTATCAAAAGAAAAACTAAGTAAATTCCCTTAGGGCTCTGCCCCAGAAGCCTTTAAAGATCCCTCCACCGATTTGTTTACATGTTGGCCATGTGGATAATACTTTTTAATGAAACAGCTGTTAATTTTTAAATTGTATATTAAACAACACACATTTATTTGGAGTTACTGAATTGTCCAAAAGAAGTATTTGCAATGTTATGTTCTGATTTTAAAATTGATTTGCTTCTGTATCATGTCATGTTTTGCAATATAACGTTCCATTACAAAATCAGTGGAAAATCCTTTTATCACAGTAACTCTTACAGTTATTTCTTATTCAACTATCTTATATCTATTTTACGGGTTGGTGTCTGCCTTTTTCACTACTTTTCTTTTGCCTATATTTTATCATATTATTCTAGACAGATCATCATAGGTTCATGAGATTATTGTCAAAATCAAAATGTTTTCAATCATTGGGAAAATCTTCGATTGTGGAATACAATACAAAATAATACAAGTGCAGAAGGGCATGGTGCCAATTTGAGCCGTGTCCATATTTTGTTAAATTAATAGTAGTTTACAGCAACTGGATAAAACATTTTACAATATTTATATAGAAACATGTGTAGGGTTTAGAAAGTCATTAAGCTGGAATACTGCAATATACTGCACACTTATATTTCTCCAACAGAAAATTCATCTGCAGAATAATTTTATTGTGCTCTTACCGTGTCTAATAACATCCAAACACAGAAACCTTGCCTAAAATGGTACCTATCTTGACAAATTATTTACAGTGGCCTATATTACTGACCATGGCCCACTGGGTTGGTAACATTATTGAAAATAACACAACATTTTGGCTGTAAAAAATGGCCTGATGAGTAAATACTATTTAAGCAGCTACTGTCATGACAGAAAGGTCATATTCCTTTTAAACTAGATCACATCATCCTTTATAAGATACGTTGATTACCAATATGTAAACGTCAATATATACGTAACAGCCAATTTACAGTATTTTTGCTTTTTGGAAATGTCCCATTGCTATGTCATTTGCATTATTTGTTGCCAATGAAGCCACCAAGACCATATAAATGAGGAGGCCCCTAACAGTTCAAGAATAAAAGCTAACTTCACTTCAAGTAGGCTATACCACTACACCTAACATTCCTTAGAGAGATTATTTTGACAACTTTAACTTTATGTTATTGATCAGGCTGAGACAACTAACTGACATCCCCCATGTCAAGGAATTCCAGCTTTAACAGTAACCCCACAACCAATTTCTCAAAACTGTGCTAGAGGGTTATTCATTAGCACAGAAACTGACGCGACGTGACAAAGGAAAAATCTAACTTACACTGTAACGGATATACCTCCCTTTGAAGTCAGAACGTGTCTTCCCAACAAACAGATATACTGTATATATATATTTTTCAAATAAAATCATAGATTAATCTGCATTACACTGATGAAAACGCGGAATTGTTTGACTACAAAAGATCCACCAATACGATTTTAAAACTATTTAATGGTACATCCAAAGGAAGAGATACCAGATAACATACTAATAATAACTCTTACACTTATTAGCCTTTAAACAATGCTAAATGCTCAAAATATGTATAATTTCACTCAATTTATCGCAGTTAGATGAATTAGCGTAAGCCTTGAAAGTACCGTCGATTTCGACGGGTTTCACCTAGTTAAACAAAATTACTTTTAAACCTCTCTAAACAGCATGAATTGTGTTATTAAGTTGGATTAATTTGAACATTACCAAGAAAGATTAAATTTCTTGAAGTATCATACATATGATGAAATACTGGGTCTCCGGAATTTTATCCCCCTGGAATTTTACCCTCTGGGCAAAGCTGACGTCACTATGACGTAGTAACCTGAGCGCTCAAAAGTTTGTTCGCGGGCGGAATTTTACCCCCGCGGATTTGGAAGTCTAATGAAAATAGACAGAGCATAATTAATTAGCTTAGCAATAAAAACCGGAATTTTACCCCCTGTCCATATAACTAGCGTTTAGACAACTGAAGATGTACGGGCCGGATTTTTACCCCCTGGCCGGATATAGAAGTTATTAAGAATGATTGATTTTCTTATTTCTATTTTTATTTAATTTTAAACATTTTATTATTAAGTAGCCTATCTTTATTTATTTATTTTGTAATCTCAACTAAGTAAACAGAATTCGCTGTTTAATTTTGATCATATTAACCAACAGTTGGCTTCAATGATTGAATCCTGATACTCGAATCTAAAAATTCAAATTAAAAAGCTGTTTGATTAGTTGATGTTACAAATAAATTAAGATAGGCTACTTAACAATAAAATGTTTACTATTAAATTAAAACTGAATGATGAGAATTAACCATTATCACTAATTTATTTATCTGGCCAGGGGGTAAAAATCCGGGCCGTAAATTTTGAGCTGACCTCATGAAGGGGGTAAAATTCCGGCCTTTACACTCTAGGTTTTTATAATTTGATGCGTTCTGATTAAATTCACAACCGTGAAAATATACGTTTAATTCCGTGTTTAATCCATCGAACTGATGTCGTGAAACTCAAAAGTTCACGGCCGGAATTTTACCCCCTGTTTGTGACGTCACGTTTGCCCGGGGTAGCGGATTTTTATCCCCCTGGAATTTTACCCCCTGGGCAAACGTGACGTCACAAACCAGGGGGTAAAATTCCGGCCGCGAACTTTTGAGTTCGCGACATCAGCTCGATGGATTAAACGCGGAATTAAACATATATTTTCACGGTTGTGAGTTTAATCAGAACACATCAAATTATAAAAACCTAGAATGTACGGCCCGGATTTTTACCCCCGGAATTTTACCCCCCGGATTTTTACCCCCGGAATTTTACCCCCCGGAATTTTACCCCCCGGAATTTTACCCCCTGGCTAGATATAAATTAGTGAGAATGATTAATTATCGTCATTCAGTTTTAATTTAATGGTAAACATTTTATTATTAAGTAGCCTATCTTAATTTATATGTAACATTAACTAATCGAACAGGGTTTTAATATTAATTTTGAGATTCGAGTGTCAGGATTCGATCTCTGAAGCCAACTGTTGGTTAATATGATCAAAATAAAACAGCGAATTCTGTTTACTTAGTTGAGATTACAAAATAAATAAATAAAGATAGGCTACTAAATAATGAAATGTTTACAATTAATTAAAAACAGAAATAAGAAAATCAATCATTCAATTTCTAAAATCAGCCAGGGGTAAAAATTCCGGGGGGTAAAATTCCGGGGGTAAAAATCCGGCCCGTACATCTTCAGTTGCCTAAACGCTAGTTATATGGACAGGGGGTAAAATTCCGGTTTTTATCGCTAATCTAATTAATCACGCTCTGACTATTTTCATTAGACTTCCAAATCCGCGGGGGTAAAATTCCGGCCGCGAACAAACTTTTGGCCACTCAGGTTACTACGTCATAGTGACGTCAGCTTTGCCCAGGGGGTAAAATTCCAGGGGTATAAAATTCCGGCGACACGTTTGCCCAGGGGGTAAAATTCCAGGGGGATAAAAATCCGCTACCCCAAATACTTGGATCAAATATGAACATGATAAATTAATGTCAATGATTTTATTGTGTATAATGAGAAAAAAAATATTTGGATTTCTTAAGATCAATATATTTATGGTATTTTACTTGAAATCTTTATGTACTAAGGTCAAGATGGTGGGAGTGGGTAAAGGAAGCCTAGTTGTACCAATATATATAGCACGAGCAAGTATGTTTAACCTTTACTACAACTTGTTTGCTCTACATCTTAGATTTTACTGCTAATGACTGGGCAACATTTATACAAAGAAATATGTGTGTTACTCTCAGTTTCACTATGACCATAAACTTAATGTGTGTTATTTGTGTATAGATGAGTGTTTGTGAAGGCTTTAGATATCCTGTATTGTTTCAGAACATCAAGAGTCAAGAGTGTGAGAGTAGTCAAAGTCAGCTCCTCAGCAACATCACATTTCCCAAGGACAAACATTCCAAACCATACAACAATGCTGATGTCAGTGAAACAAGTGTAGCTAAGAATAAAACAAAACCCTATATGATACGAAATTCTCGTGAGGAAGAAATAAATAAGCTTATAGACAAAATATCTAAACCGAAGGAGCAAACAACTGTAACAAGTTATAGGGAATTACGAAGATCTTATCCTCAAATCACAGGAGATTTTAATCAGTTGTTGAGCCCAATAATCGATGTAAGAGAAAGAGAGAAAGATCAATTATCTGAAAAACTTGCTTCAACCGAAAGCCCATTGACAATACCCTCTAGCCGCCATATTTCAAAAAATTTGTGTAGTTCAATATCATTCAATGACTTCAAACAAAATAGTTTGGAAAAAGTGATTGATAAAAATCAGAACACGAGTTTTATTGAGAGTGACAATAGATTTTTGGAAGGAAAAGAATACACATGTGAAGAACAAGAAGATTATTTACGAACCAAGTACAACCACCCCAAAATTGTAGTTTCACATTATAGTGAGAGTGAAAAAGACACTGTTGTAAGTACTCAAACACATTTTAAAGCTCTATTGGGTTTTCTGTTCAACTAGATAATTTTTTAATCTTTGGTCAAAAAATGTTTTTGCTTGAAATTTTCAAGCTCAGCATGGGAAACTAGTGACAAGAGCCTTAACTCGAACTCAAACACATCAACTAAATATTAACTATTCGCCCATCCCAAATGTTTCACAACCTAGCATTTAGATCCCTTCCAATTTGCTCACGTAAGTTATGGTTTTTTAATTGGAACCACATGTTGTAATAGATCATTAAATTTATGATGTTCCAATGTGCGATGCGCATATCCACAGATTGCCAGTACATTTAATTAATTCACTGAGCAAAACAATTTTTGTACTTCAAAATAATTAGTTTTTTTCCCCTTTGTACATAGTATATTATAAACTTAACTTCCTTTACATTTAATATTTCTCTGATACAATTTTAAGGATAGCAAGATGGTTAGGATTGGCGAATTCTCCCCACTTAACCCCAATTTGCCTGGAGGAGCCACAGTGCTGGGACTGGGTGATTGGGATGAAAAACGTCAACTGCTGCTTCAGAAGTATAAACAGGTAAGACACTAACAAATGTGTAACCTTTTTATTTGATTATAAAGAAAAAACATTTTATTCTACTTTAACGATTAGGTATAGTTTGTCTCTATGTTTTGGTTTTAATAATTTTGTGATATGGGGATGATGGGTGATATGTGGGGGGTGGGGTCGAAAAAAATCAATAATTTTTTTGAGATGTAATACCTTGGAAAAGTTGCTAAATTGTAAGACCAAAATAGGGCAAAAATATTAAAAATATTGGTTGTTATCTTCCGGTCGCGCATGTGCTCTAAAGTTTTAACAAAAAATAATACCCCCGCCGCAGCAAACCTGCAGACTAAGCGAATTTCCATTTGCCTGATTTGATTTTCAATTAAATCTATTCAAATAACATTAGGTTTAACGAGTACCTAGGTTTGCTGCCTACAGGGTAATAAAGTGTGTTTTTCAGTAAAATATTAACAGCTTAGTATAAAATAAGTCGATTGGCCAAGTTTTATCCAAATATATGCATAAACAAGCAAACTACAAAAGTTTACTTATTCTATTCTCCATAAGAATAACATGGGAATTTTTAATTTATAATTTTCTCCGTAACCAATAACCATACAAAAACACTTCAATATACTGAATTATTAGTTTTTTTAAGCTCTTCAAAATGGTCTAGAAGAAATTTGGGAAATTTTATGTTTTGAGGGTCAAAAATGAGAAAAACCAATTTTTACCCCATAAATCCCCCCATAAAACCCCGTTCCCATGGTCCGATCATGCTGGCTCACGAACTCGTTTGAATAAACGTAGGTTTACACGTTTGTACCAAATTTCATCGAAATCGGATCATTTTTGCTCGAGTTATCGTGCTGACGGACACATATATATATATATATGAATTTGAACGGATGGTGTTTTTGGCTTCTAGGAACATCAAAATGAAAAAGTAAATCGGTCCCGGGACTAAGTCTTACCATGAGACCTACGGTAATAGCTTATTCCCTATAGGGAAATTCGCTAAAAACCCATATTTTATCAGAAATATTTACAATTTTTAAAATTTCAATTTTTAATATGTAATAGTTGAACATTTCATCTACAAGGTACTAAGACATTTATATTTTAATAATAGTATTGCATGTTAATATCTTCCGGTCGTGCATTGGCTGCAAATATTGCCAAAAATCAAGAAAAACTTAATTTGGTACTAGTCTTATTTAAAATATATTAATCAACATCAAAATGTAATACCCAAAATCTGTTTGTACATATTCAGATAGTAACTTAACAAAAACAACAGACAAAGTCAGAATTGATCTTCCGGTCGTGCATAGCAATACAAATTCACTTTAAGGCGGCACTATCGGGTCAGTACATGGGCGACGCAATGTCATTCCGAAGTTTAAGATTCCGAAATTAAACAACAGGATGGTGATGATAATGTATCCCTGTGCTCAAAAACTAAAATTTACGATTCTAGTGACAGCAACCAAGAATATTTACCTAAACTTAATAACCTCTATTACAATAGCCTTCATTACATTTCCTGTAGTAGCAAACCTAAGTATTCACTAAACCTATTGTTATTGAAATAGGGAATACATCAAACCCTAGCCCTAACAAGCCCGAATATATCCTTTTGTGTTAAAGGAAATATTTTAACAAAAATTTCAACGAGGCATATTGAAATTAGCAGCCACAGGTTTGCTGCAGCAGGGTGTTATTAAGTATTTGCCAGTAATAAAGGGTCATGCCGTTGACATAAACCCTGCGGAATTCAGAATTGTTAAAATCTGGTCAACACTACTTGCCGCCCTACACTGTGTATCAACTCATTAGCCATTCACTAGCTACATTAGCTCAGAATTATTTTAGTTCCAAAGTTACTCACTAGGCATTGCCTTCGAGCAGACATGGTAACAGGAACAGGTAAGCTTTATTTGTATAAAGAATGTGTTTTTGGGCAGTTCTGCAGACCTTCTGAGTGTTGGATTGATTTTATGTTGGATCCAAGTGGCAGGGACAACTGATGTGAAATTCAAACCCGAGTGTGCAAAAGACCGTAGCTGGTACAACTGACAGGTTGGGGAAAGTGAAACTCTGTTTCTTTAGACTACTATTTGCTACATTGTTGTTAAATAGTTATTGTGCCAATGAAGTGTAACATTGTGGTTTGTAGGTGTCAAGAAGCCCTTCACCTTCCCATTGTGATGACGGCCCCAGCCTCAACCATCGGAGCATCGCAACTCAAACGGTAAATGACAGTAACAAATGTGTGTACACAGTGACCATACAGTTGGAAAGGGGAGCAACAGTAGTTAATTAAAAAGTATATTTTATTTTTTTCTACGTGAATGAGAGGTGGTTCTTACATAAAAACACTATATTGTATAGAATATATTCCTAAACAGAATCCTTCAATCTTTACTCTTGCAGGTCTACTCTTGTATTTTATATGTGTGTTGTTTCTCTTTGTTTGAGGAACAAAATACACAAGGATTTATATATGTAATCGTTAGGCACCAGTTCAATAGCTAGACCTACTCATCGTCATGTGTAACAGTACGTCCAGAGTGCACGCCGATTCAGATTCAGATTTTTGGCAGCAGGAATGGCACTTGCATTCACTTGGTAGTGGCCGTAGTGGCTGCCGGTTTCCAAGCCCACGCGCAGGCACCTGCTTACCGGAATGAATTCTTCATTCTGGTTTCAGATTCTGATTCAGATTTTGCTCTTACGCATACTACTATTTAATTAAATAAATTTTGTTTTATAGTAAAATATTAAAATTTTTCATCCTTACTTTTAGGGTTACCACTAAACGCTCAGGAAAATTGTTTTGTTTGTGTAGGTTACACTAGTTTCTTACAATACGATGTCCGGTTTTAATAATAAGTTTCAGTGGTTTCGGGCTCCATTCAACGCAATATAGAAAGAAGATGTATCATTTCTAGCTATGGGAAAAGAGATATATAATATTATGAACACAATTTTTTCACTGGATGTAACTTCACAACAGTTTCAGACACTATAATTTTACACGTTAGTTCCTCATCCGACAATTCCATAACAACGTCTGACTTGTTTCTTTGCTAACAGAGTCAGTACCAGCAGTGTATTTCCTGCTTCCACTGTGGCCACCAACAAAATATCTGACTCAGATTAACCAACCGCCGAAAATCTGAATCGGCGTGCACTCTAGACGTACCGTAAAATTGCCTTATGTGATTACCTGGGTTTGAACCTTGGCTCCTGGACAGAAGTCCCACATTTTTTTTCTACTAATCCAGCTGTGAAATTTGATACACATTTTTTCCAATTGAATAAAAAAAATGTCATCATTTTGGCTCTATCTATAGAGAAGAAGCTATTGCCCTAGATGGCACAGTAACACCTACACCCAGCCCCAGGACTGATTTACTTTTTGATCTCACTGTAAACACTAAACAATGAAATAGTATATTTCAAATCAATTTGTAAACTCTACCACTTTCTCTACACTTGACAATGTCCCTCAGGGGACGAAATATTGTGTGCATAGTGTATCTTTTAGATGTTCTATGGCCTACCTACACTTTCAAGGTAAGCTAGCTGCTATCCTCCTTCTTCTACAATTTAAAATATTGAACAAAACAGTCATTACAAAACAAACACATTGTATAAAAAAATACATATAAAAATACTGTATTGTTGCTGAGAGGTCACATCTCACGTACGCACACAATTGTCTAACTTTATACACTAATATTGAACTAAGAGACTTGAGGAAAAGCCATGGCCTCTATGGGCTGTTGTTCATTGCTCAAAGTCGTTTTATTGATATTTTAGTGAATTTAAGTAAAATATTGAATGTCATTTGTTAAAAATGGAAAGAAGAAAATTACTTGAGTTAGATTTTGTGTTTTCATGGTATGTTTCATTAGGATTTGTAATTATTCTAAGATGGCTCAAAGAGATTGCACTCACAGTGAAAATAATAGGGCACTCAATTATTGATTCAATTATTATTATAAATTAATTCAAACATATCACGGATTTTGAAGTCAAGCTGGCTGCTAGTTTTTTTTTTTAATACTATTACCATTGGATATTTTTTTTTATTATCATAACTCATAACTATGAAAGTAATTTGAGTTTATTTACAATGTTTTTGATCACTTAACTCGAGAAATGTCTTCTCAACTTGAAAGCATGTACAATTTCTGTAAAAACTTCTTTTCCATAATATGAGTTGGCAAATTCCCTGTTAAATAATTTAAGTTAATAATTTATAGACTTAATGAACTTTATTGAAAGTAATGACTTGATTGTTAGCTGCCATGTCAGTTGCATTACTGTACAGTAAGCACATGAATATGAATTGGTGAAGTTGATATGATGGTTGACTGCAAATGTAATACAATAAAATGTACAAATGTAATTTACATGGCCATGTAAAGATGTTCTGACAAAAGCTGATAACCCACACTGACTGATAATCCAGATTTTAGGAACTGCGATGCAAACTACCAGGTTGCAGTGTGATTGATGTAAGATTAGAATAAAGCTATATTTTTTAGTGTTTTTCTTAATGCAACCAATTGTTTTCAGGACCCATTAGATGATTGGTCTCCAAACATCTCTATGGAGAGAAGTCTCCGATGCATGAGTCAAAGCCCAGAAGAGACTCAGTATCACAGAGAATCCTATGGACGTAAAGATGTCGACACACACTGTAGGCCTACCTCTCCCATTCCTAAGCGTAAGTGTAGACAGTAATCATCATATTAACTGTTGGGAAACAAAATCAACAAATTCTTCTACATTTACAGGAGAACATCATATACACAATCCTCAATAATCTCAATTGTAAGTGAACTTTCTTAATCCCATTGAAAACGCCACAACACGTTAAATTAACTTCTAACCTGAAACGACTATTTCTATTTGTCAATATACTAAGGTTTGAAGAGAAAGGGCTTATTGAGAATATGGGAGAAAAAGGATAGGATAAGCAGGCTTACCTTAAGAAATGTAGGCATCCCACTTCAATCACTACAGAACACAGAAGAAAACACAAAATAAAATAAACACTGGATATTTCAAGGCCACTGGCCCCTTTCTCAACATGGAGAGTCACATTAGATATTTGTAGTCTTCCAAATTATAATTATACCAGTGGAAGACTACAAATATCTAATGTGACTCTCCATGTTGAGAAAGGGGCCAGTGGCCTTGAAATATCCAGTGTTTATTTTATTTTGTGTTTTCTTCTGTGTTCTGTAGTGATTGAAGTGGGATGCCTACATTTCTTAAGGTAAGCCTGCTTATCCTATCCTTTTTCTCCCATATTGTCAATTTACTAAGGTATTTTAATTTGTTACACAATTTTAATACTACTGCTTTCAAGAAACAAATAGACGTGCTAGCAAACTTATCTCTGAATATAAAATTTCTCATTGCTTTCTTAACTTCTATACCAAGACTGCTAGCCAAAATTAGCTATGAACATTACCCCCAACAAGAAGAGCATCTCAATACAGTAGACTCCCTCTTATCCGATCTCCTAGACACCAAGGCCAGTCCGAATAACGGGTTTTCCGGTTAAGCCGACGTCCCCAAAAACTCATTAAAACGGACCGTTTACGGTGATATTCGACTTAAATTTAGGAGAGCATTGTATTTAGTTAGACATGTGATTACTGTTCTCAAATCTTTCCCACGAGAACAGTCGTTTCAGTACCGGCCACTTCCTGCCAATCTAGTCCATTTAAACCAATGTGCTGATAAAAATTGTCCAGTTAAAGAGATGTCATTTCCGTCGAGTTTAGTCCGGTTAAACCGATGTCCGGTTAAAAGGTGTCCGGAAAAGAGGGAGTCTACTGTAACAAGGAGGACTGTGTCCCTAATCCCCTTGAGACACTTCTTAATGAGGTTCTAGACTGTACTATGCTACTCTAACAGATCTCCTAAGAATTCTTAGCTGTAACTGTTGAACATATTGTGTTATTGTCAATATATGGGAGTGTGCTAGTTGGTCTAGTGGTAGAGCGTGGAACTTTGATCCCCACGAACTCGGGTTCAAATCTCACCAATCACCAATGGATTTTATCCAAGTAATAATGATACATCCCTCTAGGATTAGCCTGAAGTAATGTGTTTAACAATTATAAAACCCTCAGGCTATATAAATATGAGGGATACATACGAGCGTAAATTATGGTCTCAAACAAGCTTCTGTCATAACAGAGTAAAGGTAGGTAGTTTAGATCTAGCACTAGTGACATGTTCTCTACTTCCCCCACTACTGTCCTGACTGGTATTCACCTGTATGCATAAGCAATGTTGACAGGGAAAATCAACCCTCGTGCCAAGTTAAAATCGTTTAAGGCCCCTATTAGACGAGGTAGCCTGGCTACGAGTAGCTGGCGACGCACTGGCCACCAAACCTAGTAGCCAGTTGAGTAGCTAGAATTTTACCGCCGTTCTCATTTTATTGTGAGTGCTTGTCTTGTACTTGTTATGAGCGGTATGTTTACAGTGAATAATGAGTGATTATAAGTATCTTCTCCTTCTGTTACTTCTGAAGAAAAGGAGGCAAAGGAATAGAAAAATATACGTTCATCCAATGCTTAGTGCAAGGGAATCGAAAGGGTTATATTACACCCTTTTTGATGAGCTCTGTGCGGACAATACAACATTTTTCAATTAATCGTATGTCACAATCCAGTTTCTTCAAGTTGTTAGGTCTCATAAAGGATGATATAACTGGAACTGATACTGCAATGAGAAGATGTATTACACCCGAGGCGATGTACTACACCCTAAGATGTATTACACCTCAATTTCACATGTTTGTTGCTATACTCCTCTACAGCACAGTTCCAAATATAAGGGTGTTTTTCGATTTCACTAATAAAGTCTTCTGTGTTTAACTTTGTGTCGGCCATCTTCTGACACTTTTTCATGAGCTCTTCTTGCTTTTTATTTGCTTCTTTCTTTTGTTCGCCTTTCGGAAGTTCTTCTTTTTTCTTCATATCTTTGCGTATCCCTTCGACTGAATCAGAAGTAGAAATTTTATCAACTGAAGTGAACAATTCACCCACTCACAACACAACAAAACGCAACACAACAGTGTGCAAGTACCGGTACCCCCGTGATATGAACTGACCGAGTGGCAACCTAGTGTAATAAGCTTCATATGCTACAACGCAGCGTCGCCAATATGGGTAGCCAGTGGCTACCGCAGTGGCGACGGGGCTCGGTAGCCAGTCGGTCGCCAAAGTGTGGCTGCGTCGCTGGCTACCCTCGTGTAATAACATCCATAAGAATCAATGACCCCTGACAAGCTGAGTAGCCAGTTTGGTCGCTGGCGACGTCGCCAGGCGAGTCTAATAGGGGCCTAAGGGATCAATCCTCATTAAAATCACCTACAGAAGATGGTGTCTTAGTAAAAAAGTTTATGACATTTATTAAGTTAAAAAGTGTGCGTAATGGAGTGAGTTTGGAGAATGCTGAATGAGAATGCTGAGACCGCCTGAATAGTTGTAGGGGGAAGTTATGAAGGTGTTAGTGTTAGATTTGAACTAGTTAACTCTGTTGTGAAGGGAGAATGATGGAAATCTTAAGCTATGGACAACCCTTGTGTATGTTACAACAGAAGCTATTAAACAGTCAGCTATAACAGTCAATTGACTAAAGACATCATAATGATTGAGGCAAGATCAAACTGTGGACATAATTCTATACGTCCAGGTCCATATCTGTCTCCAAATACATCTTCCATGACACATGTGAAATCAGCTGGTACCAGTATCAAACAAGTGAAACCATGCTATGATCAATTGATCGATCACACAGTGTCATTAGCTATGTTCTTATAACTCAAAATTGTCTGGTCTATGAGATTATCTTATAAATATGATTATGTATCTGAAGCTAAGTAAGTGGACAAGTTGGATCGTAATACTTTTTAAGGCTTATAATAACTATAAAAATCAACAAATCTAGGCAACAAATTTATTGATTAGGCCAAATCAAATTAAGTATTCAAAATAGTATGCACGGTTGAGACCTTTTTGACAACCCAAAAATGTGTTTGGCACTTGTAATAATTACTAATAAGTAAAAAATGTATCTTGGTTATCTGTATGTAAATGCTTTAAATGTTTAAAATGTTTAGATTTCTTGTTATTAAAAAATAAAAATAACTCATTGGAACTTAATTTAACAGTATTTATTATGTATGTTCCTATACTTTAAAATAGATTTGGAGAACATGACGGAAAAGGAAATTAGAGAATACATGTATCGACAAGAACTTCAAAAACAGATAGAAGAAAAGAATAGATTAAAAGAGAAAATGAAGAAAAAAGAGTTAGAAGAAGAAGCCAAATTTGAAGCTAAGATTCAAAAAGATATCGAGAAAATGAGACGGCAATATGAAGAGGAAAGGCTCCATCGACTAGAACTTGCTATCAGGGTATGTTCTCGTACAAATAATATACTAGTTAATATACATTAATTTCTAAATTAAATGTTGTTATTGTGTAAGTATTACTTTTTGAGCTGCAAGTAGAAATATCTCCCCCACAGCCAGGGGTGAATGTAGCGTTTTGGCGCCCATAGGCCCAATAATTTTTCCATTCCTAATTCTAGTTAAATTTACTTTCCTACAACCCTTTATTAAAAACTGTATCAGGCCTTTATGTCAATTGCTTAAACAACATTCCACAACCTTAATCTTACCTTGTTAATCATTGCAACCTTTTTAAAGAATTTACTTGGTTCAGGCCTTAATAAAATACCGTCTTAAACACATTTAGGAGTTTAATGTATCATATTGTGAGCTTAGGTTTGTGGGACTGAAATAAAAACCAGTCATCTAACCCGCAGAGCGTTCCTGCAACAAATGATGACCATTGCTGCCGCCGCAGTTGCTTCAAATTTTAGGCCCAAATATAAACTCCAATATACCATAGATTAAACATCCCCCTTAGTAGATTTGTCATACTTATAAATCAGTTTAAGACAATTCTTGTTATTCCAGTTATTTTAAACTACGTTTTACCAAATAAAACGATTTAGGCCTAATCGAAAACAATAGCTCGTCCCCTGGTTATATTTAAGAAATTAAAACACAAATCATAAAATAATATAAACAAAATTTTGTCGACACATGAACCTACTGTCACCAACATGAACTAGATATGAAAAACAATCTTTAGATTTTACAATGTAATGAGAAGTCTGCACTTGTGTCAGTTAAGTCAATGGTAATACTGCAACTAGATTATATATTCACCATGCAAAACAAAGCAATATATTCGGGCTAACTATACCGATCCTCAAGCTTGTGGAGAGGATGATAGAATTAAATGGCACTTTTGGAGGGTTTTGAATTTGTATAAAACCAATGCAAACTCAAACTATTTTTTTTTCTTTAATATTAAAGTAAAGACAAACTCTTTGTTTTTTGATCATTCAAAACAATGTATTATATACAGTATTTAAGGTTGATACAGTAGACTCCCTCTTATCCGGACACCTTTTAACCGGACATCGGTTTAACCGGACTACAATCAGCGGAAATGATATCTCTTTAACCAGACAATTTTTATCAGCACATTAGTTTAACCGGACTAGATCGGCAGGAGGTGGGCAGTACTGAAACGTCTGTTCTCGTGGGAAAGATTTGAGACCAGTGATCACGAGTCTTAATACAACGCTCTCCTAAATTTAAGTCGAATATCACAGTAAACAGTCGGTTTTAATGAGTTTTTGTGATTTTTTTCTAACATGGGTCTCTTTTACCTTAACATACATACCAAGTTTCATAAAGATCGGTTGAAAAAATTCCAAGATAAAAATGTTTGTGTAAATAATAGAAAATGGTGGATATCTGGCTAATGAAGCGATTTTGGAAAAATGTTATTCTTGAATTTCTATTTATTTTGACCCAAGAAATCAATACTTAAATTATGTCCCCACCTTTTTGGAACACCTTGTATAAATATGACTATAACTTCATTCTTGTTCTTGTAAATGTAGAACAAATGCAGAAATTACAAAACAATTGCTTTGACCATTCTACGTATGTAACTTATACAACATGCTTTTGAATATACTCAGAGCAAATAATTAAAAGAATTTAAATTTACCATCTGAAGTAAAAATATGTTAATAATATTATTTTTCCAGAAAAGGGAACAGGAAGATGTTCTGAGAGAAAAACTAGCCAGTGAACACCAAAAAGCAAAAGAGAGCAAAGCCATGAAGAAACGGTTGGTTAAAGATGCAGAATTGCCAAATTACGTTTGTAAGCAACATGAAAAGGGCACCCAATCTGACTTAACTAAACCTTCACGCACATGTTCCTCAAGAAGACATTACAGCCGATCCCTACCTGACCAATCTGCAGCATCAGCTTTGTCTACTGTTCACCAGGAACTGAGACAACCTCTTCTTAAGCCTGAAACTGACCTTCTTTCTTCTCTACCTTTAGTTTCTGACAGAATTTCACCTCCTCTCAAAACAAAACAGTCTTCTATGAGTGCTGCCATATCTCCCCCAATATCAGTGCACAAAAGTAAGGAAGTGGATATTCTAGCTCAAAAAGCAGTGTTTAATACAACTCCAAAGACCTCTCCAAGAGCAAATGCCAATACACCTTATTCCTCTAGCACAGCAAGAGAAAGGTTAAAAGAAGTAGATAATATTTTAAAACAGCCTCTGATATCAGAATCCCGAGTTCTTCCTCCCGTCTCCCAACCTCTGCTTCATGCCACCATTCCTCCATTTAGTGCTTCCTTCCAGTCACCAAGAATCAACACTGACATACTGGAAGATAAGTGGAAGGTAATGACACTAAGCAGATAAGAAAATAGCCATTTTGTAAAATAAATACTATATACAGGTGCTTACCATGGCAGATGCGTTATGATAAAATTGCTGTGCAAAGTATTGCGAGTATATTATTGACAGTGTCTGTCACAACAAATTGAATACTCCTTAACATCCTTGCACAAATTATAAGTTAAACTTTGTACTAGTGATCTGTCAGTACCACCCTTGCAAAAATCAACTGTTGGATCCTGTTCCTGGTATAAGTAGCATTGGTTTGGTACCTAAATAATTGTATCATCTAATACAAGGCCACGGCGAGACCAAAGTGGCAACACTGCTGTCTTGGTAAACCGAAACAGCTGTTGCACTAATTTATAATGAAGATTATAGGCAATGTTTAAATGTTTTTACACTTTTGTTATGACTCTTGTTACCATGGTAATAGGCATGACTATGATACGTAGCCACAAACCAACCCTGTGGCCCTGTATTAGAGGAGGTAATGATTGTATTCATTCTTCAAGACTAAATTTAAACATTGACATTTTTTGTTTTACTCATTCAAGCTGAAAAATATGTGCGTACAGCCATATACTTTCATAATTTATGGGTTTATTTTTTATTAGAATTTATAAACTATTAGCTGGTGATTCCAGGTAGAAAATTTAGGCCATTCCCATTTCATAGGCTAATCCAAAATCAGAACAAATGAAAAACTGGCACTGAAATAACAGTAGGTTATATAGCTTTTGCAAATATTGAAGTATGTAATGAAATGAACATATTGTTAGTAGGAGTATCCAGGTCAGGAAATCATGATTTGTACATACATTTTGATGACCAAGAAAAAGATCCTGAATCGTATGGAAATTCTATAAAAATACTGTGAAATTTAAAATAATTGCTCCTGATAGCCCTCGACCAAGAGCAAACTTATTGTAAATTTTCTGTTGGTTCTCCCAAGTGAGAAAATCACAATTTAGATTTTAGAAAACGGTCGCGGAGACGATCACAGATGTTCTCTCTTCTTGGGAGATGATTACGATGGTGCCGTGATTGCAATTGTTGCTTGTGTATGCTATGGTGTGGTCACTTTCCCAATGCTTCTGTGGATTTATGTTTTAGGTTAGTCCCTCCTTTAGTGTAAGTAAATTTAAAATACAAGTAATTTAGCACCCAATGGAAGATTGATGTATCCATTTAGAGACACTTCTGCACCACCTTTGTCGGTCTTCACACTTCTTGTAAATTCACCCTTTCACTATGAAGCGGTAGAACCAAGAATCTGCTTTAGATATCAGCACATCATTTTTGATTCTGTAAATAAAACCAATGGAACCGTTTTGAAAAATAAATAACTCCCATTGGTCAAAACAGTACACAAAAGTGCTGCCACAGAGGTGGTGAATTTTTATCTTTATTTACAGAAAGCTTTTTTTGTCATACATATCAAATCAAAATTATATATAGCAGGCACTATCTAAAATAAATTCTAAATTGTAAGTGTAAATTTTTAGCAGCTAGAGATGCTATTGCACTGCAATCTGTGTATCAAACACCTAAGCTTCAGGGCTGTGCGAATCCAGAAATTTTGGTTCGAATCCGAATCCGAATCATAGCTGTAGAGATTTTATCGAATCCGGATCGAATCCGAATATTTTAATTAATCCCGAGTCGAATCTGGGTCGAATCCGAATCTCAAATTTACAGCCATTATCGAACCTGGATCGAATCCGAATCTGAAATTTAAAGCTGTTATCGAATCCGAATATTTAAACCTGTTCAGAGTCGAATCCAAATCCGAGGAAAGTCAGCAGTACCAATTTTCACATTTTTAGACCATATTTTCTGGGGCTGAAATAACTTAGGGAATTGCTTAAAAAAATTCTTGAAATGGGCCAAATAAAAAAGTTATAAAATTTAGGCCTACCTATTTGAAGTTTTGAAACTAAAAAATTGGGCATAAGTAAGGCATACCACCTAGGCCTAAGTTACTCGCTAAAAGTGATGGACTACCAATTTGTGTAGTCTAAAACATAGGCCCAGCCTATTATACACCTCGGTGTTAATCCTCCACACAAGCCTATGTCTGCATTACTATTACAAGTAACAACTAACACTGTGAGGTTAAGTTTACTGATAGCCAAGATAGGGTTCAAATGCGACCTACACTAATGTGCCTAAAACCTAACACCAAGTTGGTCAGGTTCCTAACATGAACCAGTCAACAGCAAATCGGAGTGCACAAGTAGTTTTTTAGTGTCTAAAAAATTATATTGAAAATTATATTCAATCAGAATCTAGTAAATTTGAATATCGAATCCCAACTCGGATCTATTTCCAAGAAATTCGAATATCGAATCCGAACCCGGATCTCTTACCAGTAAATTCGAATATCGATTCCGAATCCGAATCCAGTTAGAAACAGTAGATTCGTTCTCGAATCCGAATCGAATCTCTAAAAAGATTCGGATTCGATTCGTTTTTCGAACTATTCGCACAGCCCTGCTAAGCTTGCAAAGGGTATAAACTATTCTGTTTCACAGAATAAACAATTTGGATTTTGTTTCTTTTGCTGTCTGCCCAATAATGCTTACGTCTATGTTTGTAGGTGCCTTATGTTGAGCAAGGCAGTTCCAACACCAAGCACAATGCTCACATCCTTACACAGCTGGGGACATTCCGCAGACAACTGCATGAGGAGAGTCTACGTATGAGACAACGTGTGAAAGAAGACTCACCCTGATACCTGCCCAATCATACATACCTTGGACACTTCCGTGGATTTCTTCACAAGTCTTGAAAATATTAATCATAGATTACATTATATTTACCTCTTTATATTATTGTATAGCTATATAATTTTCTGCTTTAATTACTTCTATCATAACTTTTCTCTTTTATACATAATTATTGTGATACAACAAAGCTTTTACAAAATAGACAATAATTTTTAAGAATTGTTAAATAAAGCTTATAAAAATTACTGATACTCTCTTTCTTGGATCAATTTTGTACCTGAATTTGTTTAATGATTTTATTTCTTATGGTTTATTGACTAATCAAATGATGGAATATAAAGGTTTACATTTGACACAAAAAATGTTTGTGTTCTTGTAGTCTAGGCGCTATGCCATGTCCTGTGTGCACTTATATGTCCCCTGAGTTTTGTTGGGGGGGTTTGTTTAACCACCTATGGGAGCTAAAAAAAACAACTGGTCATGTGGTCCAGATCATGGTCGTTTGGCTGCCATATTGGAAAATGACCGCCAAATCGCTAGATTATTTGCTTATACGTATCTCCGTACCGAGTGGTCCGATTTTAATTTTGTGAAGTTCATTTTACTCCTTAACTGAAGGCAAAAAAACTTTGTTTTACACTTGGTTAAACCATTATTTATTGAAGTATTAACATTTTGAATCTACATATTTAAAAAATATTGGGTTTTCTTTTTCGAGTCGGTTTTGATGATACAGTATTTTATAAGGAAGATCACAACAGTTTTATTTAATTTTAAAACATAATTTTTACAGCAATGAATTAAGGGTCACACTACTGTATTTTGTTTAGAACTGTAAGGACCATAAAATACTAATTTTAATCAAAACCTGCTTAAAAAAACTATTTTCCGTTATTTGATGGTTTTTTTGGAAGTAATTTGAACTAGCAACAAGAGTTGTAAAATTTTTTCAGAATTTTAAGTACTACATACAAATTTTTTTATCAAAATCGTTCGGGCCATCTTCAAAGGAATTTGATTTTTCCAATGTTTTATGAGGAAATCACCATTAAAAATCAAAATTTCAAATAATTAAATAATCCCTGGAGAGACCATGGATTAGTACCTGCATACTAATAAATGTCATCTCAATCAGACTCCAGGTGTGGTGTAGCTCTGTACACATACAGACAGACACACACAGCATCACTTCAAAACCCACTTTTTTGGGCCCCCCTCAAAACTCAAACTCTAAAATTCTTACAAAAACAAGGGGAGAAAGAAAAAAATAAATCGGTTTCAGGTTCATGTCTTTCCGTGCCACCTAGGGTAATAGCTTCTTCCCTATAGGAAAATTTGCTGTAAAATAGCTTTTTCATTTTTCCAAGGAGTAAAAAAGGATGTCTATATTTTTGTAACTATTTTTACGCCGATAGTTACCAACATATCAGAAAAACATAAATATCAGTTTCATCCTTAAAATAGTTAAATCTCTTATCTTTCAAATTATCTTTTTTTGGCAAGACCATGTTTTTTCACAATGATGCATGCATTTGATCTTGCGATGTGACACTTTTTAAAGATACATAATTTTAAAGCTTGTTATATTTGATGAGGAAGTTTTTTATAATATTTGATACCTTCAGCGGCATCAGCGCTTTTGCAACCTAGAAATAAAGGCTAAAAATACAGTATTGACTGGATTTTTGTCTTTGTTAAAAATTTTAACTTTTGCAATGAAATTTTAGTAGAATTTCATCCAACACCCAAATGTTTAAGTAGTATTCTTATTCTTATTGTAAATTTTTGAGGATCTTAAAATTATATTTATTTTAACAATAAAGGTCATTCTTACACAGAAATATATGTTTTTTCATAACAACTATCATTATTAAACAATTTTTAATTTTATCTTTTATCCTCTTAGGTTTGAGTTGGGAACCTCAAATAGGAATAATTCAATCAGGTTATTTAGTTTAACAGATAATGTTTATTTAATACTTTTGACCGGACACCCTGTATATTTAAATAGCTTGGTTACAAGTAGGCTACATATGCACAACTAAATGGAAAATTATAACTTACAATGCCATTACACAAGACACAAGAAAATGTTAGTACATTTGTAAAATGGTACCTTCGGTGTAAATAGGTATATTGGTGTTCAAAATTAAGTAGAGTGTTTAATAATAAATTTCTCTTAAATGAATAAATACTCAGCAATCCTTAAGTACCAAAATTAAAATGTTAGCCTAGCAACAACATTAAAACAGAAATTAATATTGATCTTGTAAATGGTGACAAAAGCAAACAATTCAAATCAACTGTTATGAACTAAAAAAGCATACTTTCAAAATCATTTACCGGTACTGGTTACTATCTAAATATTCTGATAGAAACACACAGGTTTTCTACTGGACCTTAAACAGAGTAAGTACACTCTAATCCTTTTGTAAAATCTGAAACGAGAAAATACTATAGCTTATGACCTGTAAACCAGCTACTAAGAGGTCACGAATTGTGGATATTTATAGGCATGCACTGTGGATACGATACTCCCTGGTGTGGATTAACGACCGCACTAGTGAGCATAGTGAGTACTACGAATATCCGCAGTACTATCCTGATAATTAGACTAATTCGTTAATACCAAAGGCAAAAATGTGGTTCGGGATTCCACTATAAACTGTAGGTCCCTTAGTTGTTGCCATTAGCTCTATGGGCTATTTAATAGCTGGTAAAATATTTTAAACTAAATTTGTGCCTGATAATAAATTTTCCATGAGGATGACTTAAGATTTGGTGGAAGCAATATTTATTCGCACAATTACTGTAACGCTATTTTTAGGGACTAACAGTTTTTTTACCAGCGTAAATAACAGTTATTATTTACAGTGTTAGTAATTATTTATAGTGGAAAACATTAGCGTTAGGCTATAAATCTTTCTTTTGTCTAACGAAATTGGCATTCTTTTCGCCGATCGTCCTTCAGTAAACTTGATCCTATTAGCCAATAGGCAATATGCCGTTAGCAGACCCCACTTTAAAGCTGGGGAGGAGCTGGATCAGCCTTAGGAGATAAAAGGAGATATTTCGGAGAGAATTGGATAAGTTAAACGAAGCTCAATGAGTTAGGGTTGTATTGGTTGTAGGGATGTTGAAAGTTCTGTGTAAAGTGGGGAATTGTTTGGTTGGATTCTGGTCTTGATTACGTCCAATGGCTGAAGACCTTCTGATTTGTTACAAAATGTTTTGTGAATTTCAGACATAATTCAAGTGTAACACATCGGAATAGTGGAGTAAGCTTGATTAGGATGGCAGTATTGAAATTTACCTAGTGTTTGCCAACTAACCCTTTAAAAATAAACTGTTATAGGCTATATATTAAGTTAGATATGTTTTCATAGCAGTTTGATGGGTCTAGGAATAACCTCCGCCACAGAAAATCTATAGACTGAGCAAATTTTCATTTGCCTGATTGGTTTTTGAATGATATATTTCCTTTGAAGTGTTAGATTTATTTTCTATCCAAACCAAATTATTTTTAATGAATACTTAGGTTGGTTGCTAAAAAGTGAAATCTTGTCAATTTGTAAAAAAAATTATCATATTTTATCAAAATGTATCCGTAAACAAGCAAATTACAACGCCTCACTTATTCTTCATAATAATAATCAAATGTGAATTTTAAATAATATTTTCCGTTTTTTTATTTTCTCCACAACCATCGAAGCGCACACAGCATTGTTTATAAGAAAAATAAATTATTTTCATTTTAAGCTCTACGAATTGGTTCAGAAAGAAGAAGTGCAAAGCTTGATATTTTGAAGGTCAAAATGGGAAACCCCTATTTTTAGCATATAAAACTTCGTTTTAATTCATAGTCATTCAAACTCGTATGATTTTTCCTCGAGATAGCCTGTTATTGAAATGAATATATAGTAATATACAGTTAGATATACAATACATATTCTCATATGTACATATAAACCTTAACAAAAAAATTAATCTCAAAACGAAAAAAATCTGTTCCGGGTCTTCTAGGTCTTACCTATGAGACCTAAGTAATACGATAGCTTATTCACCATAATGGGAAATTTGATAATATAATTTTCTCAAAATGTAATTTTTCGTCAGTATTACTAAGCTATTTGGAATCATCAATGGCCTTGTTTCTTAGCCATTATTTTTATTTCGATATGTGTAGTCTGCAGATTTGTGATATTATTGAATATTCCGTGTTAAGTAGTGAAAGACAGCCGCGTGTCAGTGTCCTGCATATGTATGAGGAGGGTCCACGGGGAATACAGTGTTGGGCCTATGACATTACAAATAAAGGAGGCGTGGAGAGTGAAGATAACGTTGTGACATTTATATATGTCAAGTTCATATAATTGTTGAATAATATTTAAGGCAGTTATGCAGTTAAATTATCAACGTGTGTGATATCAGGCACAATCACTCACTCGTAACTTTTAATTTTTTCGATGTGAGTTTATTTTTTCTAAACTAAATAGTATAAAAAGGTGGTTATTTGATTTCTAAATAAATCTATGAAGTTTTATTAAAAATCCGATAGGCTACGGTAGTGTTTTTCTCTTTTAGATATGGCCATTTTTACACACTTTTTTGGTAGAGATACACAGCTTCAATGTCATAATTTTAAGGAGTCATTGTTAACCCGCTGTCAAGTCAAAAGGTACAAACGCTAAACTGAGTCTGATAAAACATACAAATTTACTATCGTAAAATTTACATTTCATTACACATTCTAAATATGAAAAGTATGCAGTTCAAGCCTATAAAACCGCATGAACGACGATAATACATCAATAAATTAATAACTATTAACGATAAGGCAATAATTAGGCCTATGTTAAACTGTGGAAAGAAAGAGACAGAAAGTACAAGTTCGCCCGCAGGAAGACTTAACGAGATTCTAAATTCATCATCGTTCCACTTCAATCGGCTTTTTATAATCGCATTGTGGCTGCAAGGACTTTGAACATCTTATTGTGTTTCGAAATATATTCAGGAATGTTCTTGAGAAAGTTAAATGTTTATAGATTCGTTGGTTTAGTATAGTCTTTGTCATAATAATGCATAATACAGTGGTTAAATTCCTTAAAAAATAAAAACAGAATTACATGGTAAATAATTCCACATAAATAAAAACCAAATAGTAACCCGGTTAGTTTATCCATATTGTGTAAACTATATCTCACGAATCGTTTATGTAAAGAATAGT